AGTGTTATATTATAACCATACATGCTTTCAATTGTAGATATTAGTACGTCTGTTTTTCTAACAAGATTAACTCCGACAACCGTCCCTAAAATTAAGTATCTTTATCATAATATTCAACGTTAAACATATTACTCAATTTGATATTGATATAAAAAATTTTAAAAACGAACTGTTTTTGTTTAAACCTTTAGTTTTTATAATCAAAGGCGTCTTTTCCATCAAGGACTCGATCAGATATTATCGTTTTGAATTTTGGAGATTATTCAGTGAAATTGTTATTTAAAAAATTTTATTTTGGTAGTTCGGCAAAATTGTATGTTGTGTTTCAATGAAAAAAAAATATGGGAATAAAACTCAAAATAAACTCCAACGTGTTAACAATTGGAAAAAATATTAAATAAATTCGAATTTTCCCGATTTTTAACACTTGAATTCTGTTTAATTGTTTTCAAGTGTTGAATAAATGATTTTTATTTAAAATAATAATAAGAATTATAATTCAACATATTTTTAGTTGAAAACATCAATATTTTCGGCATTATAATAATGCCAATAATTCATTTAAAAACAAACTGACAATAAAAAATACAAAATTGGTTCGATTTGAAATGGTATATTTGATGCAAATTTCTTTGTACCTCCCAACAATGGCAGACGTTTTAAATTACATGCAAATGAGTCACAGCGCTCTTATTGCAATTTCTTCGCTTAAAGTGAATCCACGTTTTTCTTCAAATACAGACATAAAATAATTCTGGGATATAATGACTCCAGCACTGTTAACTAATTTTCAAACTGTTACAAAAGAAGTTTTAAAAAAGGCGATTTATATGAGGAATTATCCCATCACCGACGACTTTTTGACTTCCGAAAATATGAAAATAGCAGAAAAATTCACGAATTTATGCTTTACCAATACCTTTGGCACATAATCAATTTGTACCAAATAAGATCAACAAGACACTTTCGACTTAATAAAACTGTTTTTCGAGTTACTCGCACAAAACCCAACAAGAAAAGTGATTGTCCCTTTCGAACTTTTCTGGTTGTTAGTAGACGAGTATAACACTTCCAACAATCCACTTCTTCCAATTTTTGAAAGGTGTTATTTTCCCAAAAATGTGTTGCTCTATTTCAAAGAGTCGAGTGGTGTTCGTATACCTGAAAGGTTCATATTATCACAAAAGA